GCTACAGCATCACACTGCCAGCTCATTCATACTGTGGTTTGCTATTACCCCCAGGTCCCTTTCATTCGTGGTGCTACTCAGTTTGGTGCCACCAAGCCTGTAGGTGTGTTGGGATTGCTCATCCCAAGGTGGAACACTTTACATTTCTCGACGTTGAACTTCATCAGACTCTGATCCACTCAACTTGCCAGCCTGTCTAGGTCCACCTGTATCTATCTGTAGCCTATCTTCACACGTGATCACGCTCACCCATAACTTGGTGTCCTCCACAAACTTGACTAGTTTCAGTGGCCTTTGAGCCTCAAATAGCATGCCCCAAGGAAAAAAGGAAAAACAATAATTGAGCACTCCCTTTTTTTCTCCCTTGCTGGTCAGCTCTTCTGCTGTGTTAACTTTGGCAGGATAGGTCTGTTGGCTTATCAGTTAAATCATTGGGCTAAACTGCACTGGAATTCAATTCTGAATGGGAAAATATGCTCTATAATGGGGCTGTTGTTCAGATTTGGAGAGCAAGCTCATAGATCAGCTGGGAATGGAATTCCTGGCGAGGAAGTGTTTCCTCGACCACAGGAATAATTTTTCCAGACACAGAGTGCCAAGTTTGCATATCAAAATGAGTGGGATGAGACAAAGCCCTTTATTAGAATAACCCTGTTTTTAATAGACCCGTTAAGCATTTTTTCCCCTTCTGGATTTCAAAATGCATCTCACCTTTTGGGAGCTTTAATTTAGAAAGATCTACTAACTTGTTGCTGAAAGGCATCTTCCTGCCTTGCCCTTTGCAAATGCTTTGGAGTAATGAAACCTTCTGCATTTTTACTTTTCTACAGTAATCAGTTCAGTCTCATTAACCGTTAAATAAAGGCAGGTTAATGAAAATTTAATACTCTTTTGAAACATGGAGTTAAAAGACCTTAATTTCCCCCCCTTGTTTTTAATTTAAGACTATAAGAAATTGTGGCATTAATAGCTTGGCTTTTTAATTGAAGTGGCAACCTGGCATTATAAGCGCTGAGGCAGTTAGTGCAGTGCGTGTCTCACTGTCGGCTTCTAGCCAAATGAACAGTACCTCGTTTCTGGTGCTTGGCTCGTGCTCTTGCTTTGATTCATTCAATAGCATGTCTGACAAGAGCCTCTCTCAACCTATTACAGGGTAGTAAGCACACAAACGCTCCCTACCGAGTTCTACTTGGAATCAGTGTTTTTATTCTCAAGGGCATGCTAGCTTTCTGCCTTTCTATATGAAGATGCATCCAGTAGAGGAATGCACTGGAAATTCTTGTGTGCTTTCAATATGGCTGGATTTGCTTATTTCTAGCTGCACTTATTTTTAAATATTTGCAAAGATTCATATGCCAGTAGTATATAATATATTCAGGTTAGGAGCCCCATGTTAGATTAAGTTTGAATGCAGAGGCCCCAGCCAGCCTATTTTGTTGCTCAGATGATGGTCCTTCCCAAGAAAGATGTTTGCAGGACTGTGGCTGGGAAGCAACTCAGGTTACAATTTGTGTCACTGACTTCCTCAGCTGCTGACCCACACTTGCATAATGATGTTTTTTCTACTCTGACCTGCAAAGGGGTATATGGGGTAAGCCTAGTGGGGGAAGGGATTTGTAACGACCTGGAGGGGCCTATGGCCAGGACAAAGGTAATTTAAGATATGTGGGCTGCTCTGGGCAGGGGACCAAGCATCATCACACAGAAGAAAGGTATGCACAAAAGAGAAAATGGCCAGTCTGAAATGCTGACATCTTCGAATTGATAGAGGAGCTGAGACTGGGGAGGATGGTCTTGAGGAATTTGGCTGTTTCAAACCCCAGACAATTGTAGACCGTATCCATACTTAAGACTGCTTTACCATCCCACAATTATGTACCAATGTGGTTTCTATGCATGGGGTCTTGTTTCTCCCATAACTACTGTATTGTGTACATTTTTCCAATTTTAACATTTCCTTACTAAGCTTCTGCATCTACTCTTGAGTGCTTTAGGAACAGAGTCCCTGGGGTTAAGAAATTTCTTGATCATGCCTGTTCCTTGTATTCCTGCCCTGTTCTTCCTGAAGTGGTTACGAGAAGTGCTGAGAGCCCCAGTGGGATGGAGCTCCAGTGGAGCACATCTAAGTGTCTGGGGGCCTTGGGGAGTCTTAGGCACCAATTTGGGTGTTTTGTGTAAAGCTCTGTGCTCCAAGGAAGTGGCCTGGGGCCTGAGTCTAAAGGTCTCAGAAACAATAATGAGTCTGAGTCCTGGCTGAGCAGTAAGCGGGATCTACTAACTGATTCTTTTTGCAGCAGCTTGGAGACCACAGCAGTATTAGCTATGGATTAGAGCAGGGGACAGTGACTCAACAGGTCTGGGGGCTGACCAAGACTTCAGATGACTCAAATGTGTGCTTTTATATGCTTTTCTGTGTCAACTTTGTCATGTACCTGTAACAGTACCTTCTGTTTCCATCATGCCTTCCAACTAAAATGTTCAAGAATCAGCCCCTCTCCATAATAGGGTCCTGACTCCTTCTATTCCTGTTTCAGACTTGCTTGAGGTCATAAAGAATCTGTGCTAGACCCACAAGTCCAAGGGGAGTGGATGACAAAGTTCTCCTGAGCTGGGCGAAGCTGCAGACCTCACTTTAAACAGACCTTCTTGGAACATAGTTGTTTCCCCCACCAGTTCTTTTGTACATTGAAGGTGTTTCAGAAAGACTCAAAAGGGCAGACTGCAGGTCTGTGATGGCAAAACATTAGAGAGGAACAAGGCAACGGCGTAGATGTTTAAGGCCCGTTGGTCTCTCTGATCCTCTAATCTGCTGTCCTATACACAGGTGCAAGAGTTCCAACCAGTTCCCCCTGGAACAGTATTCACGGACTGGGGAACTGCACCTTACAGTGCTTCTTAGCACTGAATAAAATGCTACATAATCCTTGTTTTGATGAGCCTTGCAGGAGGCCTGCTGACTTCATGACAAGCAGCCCTTCAGGGCTGGGTGTGCTCGCACCAATCTGTCTCGTTCTGGCAGAAATCAAATGAGCCGTGTTGGCCCATGAAGCCAAGCACTGAAAGGCTTAGATCTGTCATCTTTTTTTATTATTATTACAGTTATTGAGTGATATCTGATCTAAAATGAACTGCTGGTCTCAGTCCAGTTCCCAGGGGAAGAATCCTTACGAAACCAGGAGAGTAGGCCTCTCGTCTCCATTTGAATGATCTGTTTGTTATGAGTAAGCCCAGCAGGACATGCTTCCCTCGTATGAGCAGCTGGTGGAAGACAGGCTTGTATTTACTTGCCTTCTGGGGAGGGGTGATCTCTGTTAACCCCTTTTCCCAGCTACTAGGTGCATGGGGGAAAAGCCACTAACTTGCTCTTCTCAGGAGCCTTCCAGCAGGGATCCCATGGCTGTTCTACTGTTGGTTAATGGGGCAAGTACTGAGTTTCCCTCCAGGTATCTGTACTTAGTTCTGCAACTGAGAAGTGGATCCCACTCACCTTGGGAAAGCAATTTTATATAACTTCTTCCCTTGCTCCTATCACACTAGTTGATTTGAAGGGGAGCCTCATGAGAGACTTATTCCATCCAAACAACCCCCACAAAACAGCAGCCGACTCTCCCTATGCCTGAAGAAGGGTGTTTGTGCCCAAAA